TGAACACCTAATGTATTAATGTGAAACAGAGAAAGGGGTAGCGATGGATGAATGGATGGAGAGAGAGCATTGGAAAGAGCGAGGATCCAGATCCTAATCTCATCTGGATTTATCTTTTCTACTCCCTACAGTGTTGCGTAAGGCCTTAATCCAATGCTGTCAATCAAACTTACACAACTCTATCTTCCTTCTTGATGGCTGTTACCACTGCAATCAGGCCAAATGACATCTTTTCAAGGCAGGTTTCATTGTTTAGGTACAACAATGAAAGCAACATGTGATTCTGAAATCCACTGAAATAAGACTTTCTGTATATAAACATGGAAAATCTTTGAAGTGTGTCAGAAAGGGTGCCTTTATTATAAGTAATCCAGGTCAAAGTTTATAGTTTTGCTGGTCATGATCTAAAAAAAATTAAGGAAGCAATGTTAGATTTATAGAAAAAAAGTTGCATGACATCCTTTTGCAATTTCCTATAGCTATATAATAATCCACCTTTATCTTTCAGTGTGTGAGTCTCGATCAGGGGGGTCATCCTTGGACAGCTGACAGTATGCAGAATTGCCATTTAAAAACTCCGTCATATCCTGCTAATGCTGCTACTGCATATTTTGTTTTTAGTGTGAATACTTAGTGTGCTACATGTATATCAATATTCACATCTTGTGTATATTGTTTTACTTGTAAATTGAAATGCTTGAAACATTTTCTACACTATTAATTAGGCTTTCAGTTTCCTTTAGGAACGTACTTTTTGATAATAATAATTACCGAATAATATTTAATTATTTTAATAATTCTTTTGACATTTTATATTGAGCTTCTATTCATCAGATTGTGTTTAAATACTTTGTGACACTTTAAAGCTTTGACTTCCTGTATTAAAAGAATAAGGAAAAACTACATTGTCCTTTTAAAACAAATCGAATAAGAAATATTATATCTGGAATCTTCTGCAACCATCGTCTCAACTGCTCATGACAAAGCAAATCGCAGCTCTCTGCAGAGCTGTCCAGGAAAACGCTGGTGGAATCATCACGCAACAAGCTGGGTGTCCTGCGTGAGGCAAACAGGACAGTTTCGCAACAGCAAAGTAACCGTGCATGGATCACGGCTCTGAGCTAAGTAAGTGAGCAATGAAGAAGAGGAGGAGGAAAACGGTCAGCGCAGCACTTCACAAAAGTTGTCAGCAGGAGTCCTCTTTGAGGAGAATCTCACAACAAAAGTTGTTTTCAGTGTGGATTGGTTTTAATTTAAACATAAGGTCCAAACATTTAAATATAGCATCAGGATAAACTGCAGCCGTTCAGGGGTGTGGCATATTAGGACCCTGAGCACAGGGAAACTCCCGACATTGGCTGTATCCCAATTCAGGGTCTGCAGCCTTAA